CCGCCGTCTCTGTCTATGAATGTCGATAAGAGACTAAGGCTTTCAACTGTGAAACGCTAAACATGGGGCGATATTCATAGCCCATTTTTATTTTAAAACTGTCTTAAATAATAATGCTCTAAAATCCTAATACAGTCCTCGGATTGACTAATGACATCTTAAAACTTACTGTACTTAAGACAGTCTTAAATGTAAGAATCGACTATGAATACTGACCTGTTTCACGTCGTGAAATTGATACTGAATCTTTTCTTGTTTAACATACTTTATGGAAAGAGAAACATAAAGTGTGTTAAACAAGGAAAAATTATTTAGCGGAGATTTAGAGAGATGCTTGCAAATTGCACACGCCATGTTATTCCTTCCACCATGATCATAAACTCAAACGAGCAGGCATCCGATCAATATCTCTAGCGCCATCTAACGCCAGACGTTGCAACCATACATTCTGCTCTGTTCGACGACAATGACATTAATAAATATAAAATAATGACGTTTCTTAAAACGTAATAAAATTCAAAGATTCGCATCGCAATATCTCTGCTCATGGGACACAGAAAAAAAAATAAAAGCATTTTTATTACATAATCCGAGTAATAGCTATCGATTGAACGTATATAGAACTTGATCAGTTCACGTTATTGAGAACCGTGTCTCCAGATCTGCTGCAACTCGCTGGCTCGCATAAAGGAGCACGGCAGTGTCTCGCGCCATGACGCTTCGCTCAGTCTCAGTCACTACTGTGTCTCCAGATTATTTCGTTCCCATCCGATTTCCTTTTGTTAAATATTGATATTATATTATAAACAAATGAAGATCGAGGTCGAATCAATGATGCGAATTCCGGGCCGCTTGCAGTACAGTTACTAGCATGAAGAGGGCATAAAAAGGTACATATATTAGGTATTGGAATTAATTCGTAGCGTTTTTAATGAAAGAATGTTATTTATTTCACATGAGCATTAAAAAATACATTAATGAAAGTACTTCCCATCACTTATAAAACGCTACGAATTAATTCCAACACCTAATACTACAATGAGTCCATATCCGTGTATATTTACGCATGCGTTGTGTGTCCGTCTATGCTTTCTTCATGCTAATAACGTGCTGCAAGCGACCCGGAATTCACATCACTGGGTCGAATAGCTGATTATCATTTTCTAAGGTGTGATCCATTAAATGTTGCATATGTTTCGAAATGCTTCGAGTATGATCCATTAGACTCTTCAAAGCGTTTTCATAGCAGATAAATAAATGATGTCATAGGTTTTCGCTCCCAGCGTGCTGCAAATGCTTCTCTATCGAAGAGGTAGTACAACTTTTGAAGCAACATTTTGAATGTATAAAAGTGTGGGAAACAATCGAGAATACCATAATTTATGTGCTCTATTCATTTGGTTTCAACACTTTATGTTGAAATTAAGAATAATGACTATACAATTAATAGAAGTTAATACCGGAGATGTTCATACGTATTTTAATAATTCGTTCCTTTTATTTCAAAGCTTGCGTCAAAGGGTGCGTCACCAAAATCCGGACAAATTTCAATTCAAATTTTCCGCTATACTGTGCCTCCGCCAGAGATTGTTATTGGCGTCCAAGAAAGCCTGATGCTTCTAATAAACAGTCATATTCTCAAAATGGCCGCGATGTTGAAACCAAGTGCGGAGTATAATCGAAGAGCCGCGATCATCGAAGACCTTCGCGCCGGGCGCTCAGCAACGGAAATAATTTTGTTCTTTGGATACCCGAGATCAATCGTTTATAACGTTGTGACAAAATATACGGCTTCAGAACAGTCCAACGAAGATTCCAGTATGCCAGCGCGAAGAGTTCACTCGAAAGAACGCTCCCGCAATCATCGTTGAAAGGGCTCAAGCGCTGATTTCGGATGACCCAAGGCAATCGTTGCGAAAATTAGCATCGATTGTTGGTAAGCGAGCCAACAATACGTCGAATTGCCGAGGAGGACCTTCGATACAAATCGTACACATTAAAGAGGCTCTCTGAGGCTGCCACGACAAGAAATTGTTCGATTTGTCCGGATTTTGGTGACGCACCCTATTCAAGATCGAGTTATTTGCAGATTATGTTCAATAATATAATAGAACGCTTCCAACGCTTTACGATTGATTCACTTGTGCAGTATTGATAATGTTAATAGTGCTAACGAATCATTCTATCGGAAATATTTGTACGATATCCAGCTAATAAAGTTACGTCAAAATGATGTCATTTTTTCGGTTCGTAAACGTTGTCAGTTACTTGTCATCGACGTCATCATTAAACGTCGCTATGACGTGATTATATCAAAATCTATTGACGTCATTATTGTTACATCAACGTCACAATGACGTCATAATGACGTCATCAGTTGATGTGACATTTACTCTGCAAACAAATTGACGTTATTTATCATCATTCTGACATCAAAATGACCTAAAAATGATGTCAAATAATGTGAGTTTGTTTACTCGATTTTTAGACATATCAATTGCGGTACTTTATAAATCTAGTGACTTTACAATTAGCACAGCAGCGCCTGTAATACGGGATCTACAATAGAAGCCATAGCGATCGTAGTCTGAAGTTATAAAAAATTGATCGTAGTCAATTATTTTTCTCATTTTGGACCATGATTGGTTAATTTTTTACAACTTAAGACCCTACGATCGCTACGATTTCTATTGTAGTTCCCTGTAAAGCGCTAATAAAGCGCTCATATAAATTTTTTAAAGTGCTTTTTTAGTGATTTGTAAGCGCTGTGTGCTACTTTGGAATAAAGCTCTGGATAAATCCGAAATGCAAACGACTTCCATCTTTGATCTAATAACCATAGTACATTAAAGTACAATCCTTTTTTCTTACTCGAAAATTTTACTTGAAATATATACAAAAATATTTTCTATTTACGTTAAAACAAATTCTTGTAAAAATTTTTGTGTTGAATTTTTAACATATCCGAATATTAATTTAACATAATATGATTGTGTTATTTGAATGTTTTATGTTAAATTAAAATTTAACATTTCTCATTGTTAAACTAACATAACTTACAAGTAAGTAAACAAATAACAAAAATAATGTAGTTTTAAAACATAAATTCTAAGAATAAATGAAAAAAATGTGAATTTAATATATTATAAATGTTAATTTACTGAATACATATGTTTTGTATAACTAGTAACATATTTTATATGTAAAAAAGTACAAATATTTTATGTTAATTTTCTCTTGTAACAGTAAATATCTATTAAATATCTATATAATGTTAAATATCTCAGAAACATAGCCTAAACTAAAAATGTAAAAATAGTATCTAATTTCATTTAAATTTAACATTATAAATCAATTTAACATAAAATTTATTTTTATATTGGGTCAAAGTATTACGCTTCTTGTGTTAATTTTTTATATAATATTTGTATTACTTTCTAACATATTCATCTTATGTTAAATTAACAAAAATTTGAGTGAGTCGTTTGGGATATGAAATGTGATAAATTTAAACACAAAACTTCTTACTGTGTAGTATACAGAGTGATTTTAATATATTTCATCACCCATCATGAGCAAGTAGAGTGAATCGAACTAAGTCGAAAAGTCCTCTACCATTTTGCAATTTTCGCAATAGTTAACAAGATATTAATTACTAAAAATTGTCAAATATTGGCCTTGAATAATTTTTTATTCAAGTACTATCAACTTTATAGAAAAGCTGCAAAAAATCATTTATTTTCTTCTCATAAAGTTCTGAAAATTTTTTCAGAATTTTTTAATACCGTATTTTCTCATGTTGGTAAAAATAAGAAAATAATGCAGTACTAAAAAATTGATAAAAAATTCTTAGAGTTCTATGAGAAGAAAATAAATGATTTGTGTCTCTTGCAGTTTTTCTATAAAGTTAATAGTATTTGAATAAAAAATTATTCAAGACCAATATTTAGTAATTTTTAGTAATTAATATCTCGTTAACTATTGCGTAAACTGCAAAATGGTAGATGACTTTTCGACTCAGTTCGATTCATTCTACCTGCTCATGATGACTGACGAAATATGTTAAAATCACCCTGTATATATGTAATGTATATTACAATAAGTCTGGTAAAATTTTCCTCGGAGAGAATGCTTTAGAACGTAGCTCTAATATATAACATCGTATTATGTATGAAATGCGTCAAATGATCGAACCTAGTTTCATCAAATTTGGAATTGCGGAGGCTCATCTTAAGGTTTACCAAGAAAAACAATTCTCTGTATATCAAATCAGTTCTATACATATTTTCTATTGAAAAAGAATAATAAAGAAATGAATGAATATCAAGAAATTATATAAAATCTCATAGAAAAGCATTTACACTATTTCACGTTAAAATTTGGGCATACAAATCACGTCCACATATATAGACGTCAGCGATACGTCTTTTTGGCGCAATGTTAACGATGTACCATTTTAAAATCACGTCATAATTACATCTCATTTAAGTCACCATCATTAAAATTCTTTTTCACATCATTTCGATGTTGTCTTGTTAGCTGGAGGAGGACATATATCGAAACACAACTTTTCTTCTTTTTATTTTTTTTTCACGCTGATTTTTTTTTTAATGAATGATAAATTTCAGGCAAGCTCTGAAATTTCAGGCTTTTCCAGGGATTTTCTAGAATACGTATAATTCTGGGATCCAAGGATATTCAAGAACCGCTGAACACCATGACAACAGTATTAAACTGATTCATTATTACCTCGTGAATTTCGTATCTCGAGCGAATATACCGAGAAAAATAATATTTCTTATTAGAAAGAAATACTTCCTATTAATGTGTAACTCGAAATGTCATTTTCATTTAGTAATTTGTATCTCAAATTTAGAAATACTACGCTATGCAAGATTAAGAGTGTATGCTTGTTTATAAAAGAAACAGAAATCGAATCATGAATAAAGAAGATATATTACAATAAAGAATGATCAAGATTATACAGAGTAATATAGTACCTTCAATGAATTAGGCAAGTATCCCGTGAGAAAATCTAAGAGCTTGGATAATTCCTCTTCTGCGAGTAAGCGAAAATTCCGGCCTCGTTCTATCGCTTCGGAGCACTCCATGCTGAAACTAATTACCAAAAGATTAAATATGTAAATATGTGAACTTTTGATTCTTCTTATGAACGCCAGCCTCATTGTAGAAATAAATAATTCGTAATTTTATTGTGACGTATAAATCAATAATTTACTTTTGTAAGAGATTAATATAACTTTTCAGGAAAAACTTAAATTATTTATTACGTGATACTATAAAAACTTATGAAAAAACGTGATATTAACAAAAACACGCGATATGGTTTGCTTATTCCGAGGCTTATTCGTTATCGCTACACTGGTTACAGATTGATAAATATCAGCGAAATATTATGTATAATCATGAATTATGCGAGCAATTTGACAAAGTTAATGCATGTTATTAGTAAGAATTCTATAACTTGAACCTTTCAAGGCTTGTTGTTTGCAATAGTTTACATCGGAGTTTAGCTAGATTTTCTAATCTGAACTCGAAACCTAATCTTTATCCATATTAAATAGTCTAAATTAAGAAGCTCGTCGTACTATTAATAAAGTATAATTTTTTAAAAATATAAAAAAAATGTTCTTTATGCTCTTTCTTTTCATATTTTTGTATAATTTTTTATTGCAAAACTTATTGCAAGACATTTAAAAATTATATCATATCTATCGATATGAAATGAGAGAGAGAGAGAGAGAGAGAGAGAGAGATAAACATCAAATTAGAAATAAATTAATTAAAATAATTCTGTTAAAAATTGTTGGATCAATCGAAAAGTTGATCCGTTCTTTCTGTTTTATGTAATCACACACATACAACGGTTCCAACTATGTTTATTAAACAATATTGACATTTTCATATAATGGAAATAAGACAATTTACGCAGATCCATTCTTACATATTAATTTAACACTATCGGACGTTTTGACTTTCTTTGAGTCATCTTCAACGATGTCCAACTTATAAAAATCCACTTACATCAATGTATCCGCAAACAATTTTAATCCATCTGCAGCGGATAAAACATCTTTTATTACCAAATTGAGAAGTACAAATGTTCATTCGTTTTTCAACTAAATAAGGCCGCTGTAAAAAAAATGTAATAACTGATTGTGAATATCGCAAATAGTACAAAAAACAAATAACAGATGTGATATAATGATATTTACAAGTACATTACCGCAACGGCGCGGGTGTTCATTTAGCTGAAGAATGACTGAACATTTGTATTCCTTAAGGTGGTTCTTTAGTAAATCGAGTTACCATAGAAATGTTTAAATTTTTTATATAATGAAGTTGAAGTACCGATTGTGTGCAAAATTCTACAGCAGATTAACGATAAAATAAGAGAGAAAAAAAATATTGAAAATGTAATCTTTCATGTATAACTTACAAGGGAAGTTATCCAGATGTTCCATTAGTTTTGAAAAAGTAATGGTTAGTTATAGTAGTTAAGTAGTAATAGTTACAGTAGCCTACCTCCTATTAATCTTAAAATGAGTGTCATTTGGTCAGAAAATTTGATATTCGTTAAAAAAATGGATTCAAAGTCCGCTATATAAGTGAAAATGGGTTTAAATGACGTTTCTTCTTAACTTTTTTTTACTTTTTGGGTTTTTTTTTATGTACGTGTGAGCAATATATGTAAGTGGAAACCCAAAACTTGGATCTCAATTCCAATGATAGATGAACATTTTTTTATCTATCCCTCCCGAAGTTCGAATTGCATTTGAAAGTGGTACACTTTTAAAATTGTATGTATGCATAAAAGTACATATATTTTCTTATTATACATTACCATAATGTACACACACATACACGCACGCACAATTAAAGAATAAAATTTTATAATTATGTAGATAATATAATATATTATAGGATATGTGTTCTATAGTTTGTAACAGAAACTATATTATAGAAATCAAAGCCTTAAAGGGTCTAGATGGATCTTAAATGTTTATATGATACTTGTGTGAATTTATATACTACGTATGTAGTTCTTAGAAACGTGCGCCGAAATGATTTTTCAGTCTTGAAAATGCTAACTCCATTAAACTACCGAATACTAAGGCCTCGGTAGTTTAAAGGCTTAGGACGCTCACACGAAATGCAAGAGATTCGGATTCGACTTTCGGCCAAGGTAACATTTTTCGCAAGAATTCATAAGAATTAATTATTTACAGATTTTAATGTGTCGTTCAACAATATTAAGATCGTTTCGAACATGCGAATAAACATCAAAAATTTGTTAAATTGCTAGTCAATTTAGTTCATAATATTACTGCGGTAGTTTAGTGGAGTTAGTTTTCAAGCCAGAAAAATCATTTCGGCGCACGTTTCTAAGGACTATATACATATATTCTAAGGACTATATACAGTATATAAATTCACACAAGAATCATATAAGCATTTAAGATTCAGTTAGACCGTTTAAGGCTTTGATTTCTATAATTTCCATTATGTAGATCAAACAATTATGTTACAAATTAAAATAATAAGAATGTAATGAAAATATATATAAATAAGAAAATACATGGGGCATTCAATGTAAAAGTGAACTACCCATTTTCAAAAACGTTTCTGATTTTGTCGAAACTTGCTGATGTTGGTGGGTTTGAGGATGCAAAGTCTTAGACTTAATCTAACTAGTTTAGTAACTGCAAAATGAAGAAATTTTACGATTTGTCATATATCTTTCTAGATTTTTTTTAGATGGAAAGTAGAATTAATAGAATGAAGTTAGTGCCGTTTCCTACAAAAAAAGTCTGCTCTTTCACAGTGATGATATCCTATTTTGAATAACTCTTGATTATCATTCCTGTTCAAGTATTTGAAATCTTTACAATCGTGCCATAGTCAGAAGTCAGTGCCAATTTTTGTTCTTTCAATTACAATTACCCATTTAGTTTTTCTTGGTACTTTTTATTTACGTAGGTATTGCTTATTATTAATTGCTGCTGTATTTTTTCGTCTCATTACTTTGTATATTTGTTTGTATTTGTAATAAGCAGCAGTCAAATACTGCATTTCGATAATTGTATCCAAATAGGAAACAATAGGAAAAAATACTCATTTAAATGCTTCAATAAGGATTTCACAATTTTATGTGATTTTTTTTTGTTACTGTATGAAATACTAGTTAATTCAGCACTGATAAAGCATAACACGTAAAACAAGACTTAAAACTTTGCAACAAAGTTTTAAGACTGATTTACGCTGTGCCGTGTTTCAACAATGATTTTAAATTTTCCGCTGCGATGAAAATCGTTTGTTGATTACGCTTGGAATTCTTAGAAAACGCTGGTGCGACACAATACGCGTAACCGAGTAGTCGGATAGACACTTTGTCCTGTCTTTCTCAAATTATACCTCGAAAACGACTAGGCCTCCCAGAATGCAGCTTCATATGATTAAAATCGCCATATAGTACTATATTTAGAGCTATTAAGAACAAAAATCAATACTAGTCCTTGATTATGGCATGATTTTAAAGATTTCAAACTTGAACAGAAATGATGATGAAGAATTACTCAAAATAGGATATAATCACGTGAAAGAGCAGACTTTTTTCTGTAGGAAACGGCACTAACTTCATTTTATTAATTCCCCTTTTCATTCGAAAAAAATTTAGAAAAATATATGAATGACAAATTGCAAAATTTCTTCCTTTTGCAACTACTAAACTAACTGAACTAAAAGTCTAAAATTTTGCACAAATTGCATCCTCAAATCCATCAACATCAATAAATTTCGTCAAAATCTGTACGTTTTTGAAAAAGAGTGATTTACTTTTACATGAAATGCCCCATATATACTTTTATACGTACATACATTCATATACACATATGCAACTTTATAAGTGTACTATATCCAAACGCAATTCGAATTTCGAGAAGGATAGATAAAAAAATGTTCAACATCCACCATTGGAATCGAGACCTAAGTTTTCCTTTCTATTCTTACGTATATTAGGTATTCACATGTATGTAGAAAAACTCAAAAAATAAAAAAAAGTTACGAAAAGATTTAAACCCATTTTCGGAACAGCTTATAGCGGACTTTAAATCCATTTTTTTAATAAATATCAAATTTTCTAAACGAATGGAACTCATTTTAATCAAGGAGGTAGAATACAATAACTTCTAACCATTACCTTTTCAAAACTAATTGGACATCTAGATAACTTCCTTTGTTAATGACAAATAAGGACAAGGCTCTTAGACGCTTCTTTGACTAACTACACACAAATCTTACCATAGACTTTTTTCAAAAATCAAATTATAATAATTTAAAAAATTACGATTTTAATGGTTACAAAAAAGTGATACGTCAACGGCTATTCTGCATAAACTTGCACATAAATTTAACCTCGAAAAGTAAACATAATTTCATCTTGTTTTCGTTCGATGAAGATGCAGCTCTTGATTTACTATCGTATGTTCGATACTATTTCATTAAGATATATACGTAATTTTAGTTTTTTTTTCCAAATTGTATAGATATTTGTAATTTTTGGTGGGCCCTGATGAAGTGAGTCCAAATTTTAGACACTTTACTAAAAACTACCTTAATACCTATTTTATAATAAAAGAGGCTTTATCCGCTGCATATGTGGACTGAAATTGCGAATGCATTGATAACGGTAAGTGAATTTTTATAAGTTGTGAATATTGTTGAAGATGACTCATAGAGAATCGAAACTTCTGATACTGTAAAATTATAATATGTAAGAATGGAAATATAAATGTTGAATTATAGCACACGAATTATCGCGCAGATTTTACTCTCATTTGTCCATTTTAAAATTTATATTGCTTAGTTCATATCTCAAGAGTCCAATTAATAGATATTGTTTTTTACGCAATGTCATAAAAAAACGCAATATTTATGCGTTAGTGCAATGTGGGTCAGTATAACCTTCAGCAAAATTTCCTTTGATAGTAAGGCTTCTTCTGTTTTAATGACGCGCAAACTTAGATTCGTAAGCTAATGGCGTAATTGATTCACAAGTATGGCATGTTTGCGTTATGCAAACTCAGTGGGATGTCCAATTGTCATTTATATAAGCAAGTATAAAAAAAAAGAAAGATCGTTAGATTATCACTTTTCAAGAATAAAAAGCTAATATGAATAACATTGAAATAAAACTCATTTTATAATAGTGCGCGCAAATTGATTTTGAAACATTGCAAAAATCGTTTGAGATGTGAATGATGCAGATAAATATCTCAATCGATAATTGTTACATTTAGTACTTTTATAATTTATTATTTTTTTATCTGCGAGGAAATTCGAATAATTCATACAATGTAAAAAAATAAATAAACTTTCATTCATTAATGAACTATAATAAATTGGTTAAAGTTTACATAATTATTTACGGACAACGTAAAAAGTATTGTAGCGACATCTCCTGATTTTATTCTCACTATCTTTACATTTATATCGTTAATTGATACATTTTGATCGTTGATACGAAATTGCGTCGAATGCTACACTCAACATACAAAATTACCATTTCGAATTTTTTTTTTATTTAAATTGTATTTTATTTTATTCATTGAATATTAAAACAAGAGAAATGTGCTGAGCGTTCTTGATAATAATTGCCGTTGGTTAAACTGTATCAAGTATCATCGAAAGAACATTCTCGTAATGTCGGTAACACGCATCGATAATACGAGAAATTACTTATTAATTAGATCCTTTCACGGAAAATTCGCAGCTTACAAGATGAAGCGCGAGTGCATATATACGTCGATATATACTGGCGGTACGTCATAAGATTGCAAACGATATGCCGGCCGTGCCGGTCCAATAGCCGGTTATGAGTGTTATGCAATTCCCAGTCCTCCCTCTTAACCCTCAACTTAAGAAGAGTCCAATCCAAATGTACATTGTAGAAGTCTCTCATATTTTGCATCACATCACCCAACGTCTTGGACCGATTTTGCCGGTCATGTGTCTCACAATTCGCGTGCGTATACGCGCGTTTAATCGATTTACCTGAACGAGTGGCAGCCTGTCGTTTACGTCCGAGCACGCCGTCAGGACTCGTCTTTCCGCAGAGAGGACGTGGCGTCTCGTACTCGAGATCGTTGACTGATTCGCACCACTGTTCGATTGATCGCGCGCGATTCTGGAAACTGCGAAGCGGAACCTCGCCGTTATTGAGAGTAAGAATGGTTGCGCTGTTGTCAAGGGATAGTTCCAACGGAGGAGGCATCCACCCTCACCGCCCCCTGAACCCGCACTGCCGCCCCTGGGCCATCGTTGTCCTCCGTGCACCGAACGTCGTCGGTACGATGGTGCGCAGGCGTCACGACGCCGCCGACAGTGCCGCGGTTTAAACCATCAGCATTCTTGAAAGGCCTTGCAGGGCCGTGATGACGTATCCACGATCTGAGACAGCTGAGTCTCGAGTCTCGACTCTCTCTCTTCCCCCCCCCTCCCCTCTCTCTCTTTCTCTCTCTCTTTCTCTCTCTCTCTCTCTTTCTTTCTTTCTCTCTCCACTCTCTCAATTTTACCGAAAAAGCGAACATTATGAACGAAACATTTTGCGTGATGCACTGACAATCCACGTAAGATGAGCCAAAGCAATTCGTAATTATAAAGACAAAGGTACACGATCGTTGTTCCATCCTGAAATTTTCAAAAAATCAAAAATTTTTGTGTTTATTTTTTATCCGAAAATTAAATTCTTCATATTAATGAATATACAGTTGATTATATCAAGCAGTGTACAGCAATTGGTGCCTCCGTGCCGTTAAACTATTTCATTTACCTGAATAGTTTAGTTTTTATTTGATATATCTGTATACATATCTGTTACATATCTGTATTGTAGATGACATTGACACACAATTTTAATATAGATTATATTAGTTTCGATTAGAAATCAGTGCGTCCATATGCTTAAAATACGACGAAAAGAGATTGTTATTGAAACTTTCGCGTTTTTCTCAGAATGATGTTTTCAAAAACGATGGACATTAAAACTATCACAAAATTAATCCAAATGTTTTGAAATTTAGTTCAGTTATTGTCAATTGAATTATCTAAAGTAATATCTATGATTTTTGCGATAACATATACTTTTTTTTTGTAATTTATACTTTTCCCAAGGAGAACAAGAAAAATAATGTCAATTTGACCGTCATATTGACCGAATTTATGTCATTTTTCGGTCATGATAAAAATCTCGATCTCAGATGATAAGGAGAGAGAGAGAATAACTTTATATGTATATAAAATCATTCTTAGATCATCTAAGATTAATTGACATTATTGTGATTTTCATGTTCTTCTTGGGTTATATTGAATTTCTATGTGAAAATTAAACTTTTTTTTTCATGCATGCACCATTTTTACAATTTTTAATATTTTTTAAATCGAACAGATATTTCTTTAGTAAATTTAATGCAGATTAAAAATAATTAATCAAATTTTTGATATAGCATATTTTGGACTCGTTCTATTGTTCATCGTGAATGACTTCATTCCGCCATTTTGTTTGCCAGAAATATAATTATTGCACATTTTGTAGACTAAGATGAAAATAAAAAATAGATATTAAAAGATTTTTTTTATTATGTATAGCTTTTCGTAATCAATTCCCAAAATAATATATGATTTTGAGGCCTCTAAGGTGGAATAATTCCTTAAAAGCGCGAAATAAGTTTACATATTTGTGGGCGACAAAATTTACGCCCTCCCGCCTCTCCCAAAGAGTTCTAACGATTATTTTTAATAATTGATACGCTAAAATCAATATCTAAAATCTAAAAAGTTCCAGAACTTTGAAGTTTCAGATTTCGAATTTCTTTCTTTGAAGACGCTAGAATTTTTTCGTTTGCAGTCTCTATTAAGTGCAATTGTTAGAGCGCTTTGGAGGGCTATCTGAACTTATAAGAATATAGAAATATAGAATGTCGAAAATCTAAAAAAAATTTAAAAAAATTTGTTTTTAAAGATTTTTTCGAAAATCTGATATTTGTTTTAAAGTTCTGGTAGCTCCTCAAAGAGTTCTATCGATTCTCATATATAGATCAAAGTGCTAAAATGTACGATAAAAAAGTTATAATCCTTCAAAGTTTCGAAATCTCTCTCTCTCTGTCTCTCTTTCTCTCTCTCATGAAATTGGTCTCCCCAATTCTTCAAATCGTGTTTTCGCTTTAATCGATAGACTCTTTCTACAATTGATAGAGAACTCTAGAACTCTTCGAGGAGCAATCAGAATTCTACTTATTTTTTCCAAATTTTGGAAAAATAAGACCAGAGATTATGTGAAAGATATGATTTGTAGAGCTCCAATATGATAGTAACTAGGCTGAGCATGTGTTGAAATACTTTTATTTGAAAAATAATATTGGTAAAATAGTTTTTTTTTTTATTTTAGCGAAACACATGTATTTTGTATTTTATATTTTATAGGAACATATAAAAATTCACTCGAGATTAGCAATGACAATAGACTTAATTTTTTGAATGTGACAGTGATATTACACAGTGATGAACATTTTATCATTTTTGATAGGTATTCGAAACTACAACATCATCAGGCATGTATCTCAATTTCTATTCGAATCATCCTATTTGTCACAAAAAAATGAGTAGTGTATGGTATAGTGGACAGAATTCTTTTATTTTCTCATCCGCAATTTCATCAGAAAAATTTCGAAGATACCATATGCATTCTTCTAGATAATGGCTATCCACTTGCTTTTATTTTTTCCGCAATCAGACAAAGGCTCAAATTCCACTGCTATCTTCACCCTAATACAAAGTCGCTTAATAAAAATTAAAAATCCCGTTTGTAAAATCCATCTCTGAAAACTTTATGCCTATAGCTATGAATATACATCTCAAGCTTTCACCATACCTAACAACCTTAAGAAATTTATACACAAGGGTAAGGACCGTTTGGATCATTTCTCTAAACAGGGTATAGTCTATAAAATTGAGTGTTTGGATTGTGAGGCTAACTACATTGATCAGACAAAAAAGAGATTACAAACTAGAATAAATGAATATCTGATATTAACAAGAGAATAGGATCTCCAGTAATTTCCCAAACGAAATCGATTAAAAGTCGACTACAAGTTGACTGGAGAAATCAAGAGTCGATTTCAAAGTCAGCCCGAATATCAATTAATAGTTGACTAATAGTCGATTATTGTCTCGAAAATAATTGACTATTATTAATTCAATTAACTAAGCGTTTTCTCTTTACATTGAGTGTAACTTCGCACTACACCAGTTGCGCGTAAGTGCTGCATCAGTGCTACACTATACAAGTGTACATACACCATGGTGTACACTACTTCATGCTATCGTGTTTAATTCTACTGCTGGTTGATTTCCATTTTCAAAATTTGTAATGTCACATCGTCTGGCTTTATACCGTCTCTTTGAAATCGTGTAGCAAAATCCCACTTCGTGCATAAAATTTGCACTACACTATATAGCAACGGACACACGTTACGCTGAATGAGTTTGCCTACCACCAGCCAAGGAAACACGCTACACTGTGTAAGTGTTGCACTGGTAGGCGATAGTGCAGCCAAGAGAAAACGCTAAAATTGATAATTTATCGAATAGTCAACTTCTGTATGGTTAATATTCCACTTTTGTTAATTTATTGGGCATTGATGACTGAAAGATATCTTATAGTTATCAGCACCTAATAAGTTAACACAGAAGTGGAAATATTAACTATCCAGAAATTGATTATTCGGTAACTTATTATCAATTTTGGTTAGTTGGGAGGTTTTATTATAATAAATTTTATTTTCTAGAGAAGCATAATATACTCATGTTGTAAACTCTTATTGTCATATAAAACAACATAATCAATTATACAGGAATGAACATTTTGAAGAAATTTACATAATAAATATTTTAATACAATTATTAGCGATAATATTGTTCTGTAATAAATTAGCACGTTTTTGGAAATGTTCATGCAAATAAAATAGAATTATTACACGCAGGTAAAATAAAATAGACAGGAATAATGCGATGATGCAATACAAAATATACATTTTCCTATATATACATACATTTTCTCATTTAAGTACAAGAAGCTCTTATAAGCGACCAAAGTTAAATGTTGGGATAAATATTTCTACTCTTTTATATATTTCACATAACATATATTTTATTTTGTAACGTTTGAAATAATGATAATCTCATAAATTAATTTTCGATTGTCAATTTGCTATTAGTATATTATGTATAAAGTGTAAAAAACTTATTGCGACAAATATTACCTTCAACTCAGATTTCTCGATCTCTGGTCGGATATGCTTAATCTTTTAACTGAGGATTGGGTAATATTCTTCGCATTAACCGATATATATACAAAGTGTTCCATAACAATTAATTAATATTTCATAAGAGAAAGAGGATGAAATTTTGAATTAAAAATTCCTTTGCTAATTTTGGCTTAGACCATTACTTATCGAGTTATTAACGATTAAAGTTGAAAGTCGCAATCAACTTATTCAGATAACACGCAGACTATGCAGAGTATATCATGAGTAGTCATAGGACTCTTCGAGTCCTCGCGCTTGCTATGCATTATCCCGATTAAAACTTATTCTAAGATTATTCTAATTTTTCATATATATATATATATATATATATGTATTAATAAATAAATAAATCAAGTCTGAGCCAAAACTGGCAAAAGAACTTTTAGTTCAAAATTTCATCCTCGTTTACTCCCTGAAATATTAATTAATTGTTATAGGATACCCTGTATAAAAAGTGTACACATTAATACATGGCAGCGTGTATATAAATATTTTCTTATATAAATATAATTATACCTATAGTAACTATATTCTTAATCTATTAGGTTGATGCAAAAATAATGTCAATTTTTAGTCTTCAGCTTTAAATAATATTTCAGCTCATAGCATACTTCATTAATCGAAATAAAAATCGTTACTGACATAAATAAGTACAGCAGAATCTGCGCTTTAAAATGATATTTATTAATATGGACATAAATATAACTTAAGTTACTATACATTTATAATAAAATAAAACATCAAAGTTTAAAACGGAAAAAACTGGACATTATTTTTGCATCAATCTATATATTATATATTATCATATATATTGCATCTGTATCATAAAATTTATTTTTTACTTTGCATTGCTCTTATTCTATCGCCAACCCGTCGCACCCACTCTTGCACGTACTTTTCCACTTCAGCATTTGTAGTGCTGAAGAAATTGATGAATATCAAATGTCAATTTTAATTTTTCGTGATTTATTTTGAGCATAAAAAAACATTTTTATAGGCTGCAGTCCACTTGCTTCTTCCAAATGCTCTGAACATTACGCTCCAAACGCTACGCTCTGATTGGTCCATTATCGTTCCGAATGCTACAATTGCTATGTGAACCACCCAACTCCAGCCAACCCATCTTCCGAGATAAGGCAGTTGGAGCGAAGCGGGAGCAAAAAAACGATGACGTATTGATGATGTAATCAGAGTTGCTAGGAGCGTTCCGACATCAAATGGACAGTCATGTCAATGTTATAAATTCTCTGTAGCGTTTGAAGTGATAAGAGAAATTGACGAATATTAAGCGTCAATTTTGATCACGTGATTTATTTTGACGTTAAAAATGAGCATTAGCATGAAAGTCATCTTAAGTGCTGAATGCAGACATCACGAAGTAAGGGATGGAGCAGACTGAATTCCGTGTAATGGAAAGAAGCACTCATTCGTGTGCCGAATTAAGAGGGAGTCCGCTGAAAGGAACAGCCTACGAATTAGGACACCATTTATTATACCAACCTTACCTGATTTTATCCATCATGGCATCCTTAATAAAGTAATTCACCTGAAGAGTCTGAGCACAAGAATTGTTGTAACATTTACTTAGAGACTTAAGTTGTAGACGTAAGTAACGCATAAGTTTTCGCGTATGACGTACGATTTATTGCCGTTTCTTGAAGACACGGCAATAAGTTGTACGTCATACGTGACTGCTCGTGCGTTATTTACGTCTACAATTTAAGCTAAGTAAGTGTTACGACAATTCTTGTGCTCAGATTCGAACGCTGGACCATGGTGGAAATATATAAGGTGAAACATTACACATAATGGCAGTAGCAGTACTGGAAATAGCCAATCAAATATGTCCAATATGCACTGTCCTACGTATAATAGCGCTGATTATATTGGAATAGCCAATCAAATATCCGGATATGCACTTTCCTACTGTACATTCACGGGAGTACTTCACTGTACTTCACCTTAAATATTTCTACCATACGCTGGACATGTCGTTCAAGCTGCTGAAAGTCGACAGAAGTCAAGTAAAGTTGATATTGCAAATAGCACCCTAATTCGCAAGCTATTCCTCTCAGCGGATTCCTTCTCGATTCGGCACACAATTGAGAGTTTTTTTTGTATTCGCGCCCAATCGTGATCGGTCTTCTCTCTTACTTCATGGCAGACATTTATCAAACGATTGCAAATTGTTTTCTGCTGAACGTAGCCATGATTTCTGATAGGTTAAAATTCGTCATTTCCTGTTCCTATTAGTGTTGTTAGGGTCTGAACACAAGAATTGTCGTAACACTTACTTAGAGACTTAAGCTGTAGACATAAGTAACGCACAAGCTTTCACGTATGACGTACAACTTATTGCCAAGAGTTTCCAAGAGACGGCAATAAATCGTAAGTAAGCCTTTAAGTAAGTGTTACAACAATTCTTGTGCTCAGATCTTTAGATCAGACGGGCTGGGTTTCGAACGCATCCAATATAGCTTCAGTAACGTATCGGCCACTAATAAAGGAGATCATTAGTCGCCTATGTAAAATTTTTTCAAAAATGTTGAAAATTTTAATATTGAGTCATCTAAAAAGTATCCGCGGTACTTTGTCACTAGATATATGAGCATCAACACATATCTAGTGACAAAAAACCGCGTATACTTTTTAGATGACCCAATATATTAAAATTTTCAACATTTTCAACCCTAAGCGATTAATGATTTCCTATTTACTAGTGACTAAATACATTACTGAAGCTACGGGCATTGAACGGGCTTGAACGGGCATGCGTCTGAAATCCGACTCATTTAACACTGATTCCTATTGCCTGTGCTTTTCATTGTGTTTCCGGCTTAACAATTCTAGTTACATCGAAGCAAAAAAATTATTTAGGGAATAATCGAATTGGAAAAATATTATATCGATATTCGATTTTTTTCAAAAAAATAATTGATGTCAAAATAATCGCGAATCGTCCATCTCTAATTGAATTCCTGTTTCTATCGCTATTGCTGTCACTATCGTTATTTCTACCGTTATCGCTGAGCTGCGTTCAGGAATTATGAATAATCAAATAACTCTAAGCTATAGATTACGTTACGTATATTATAGCAAAAATGCACATTGGAGTTATCTAGGCGTAATTCCTGAACACCTGTTGTCTCGCATTGTGTTTAGGGCTTTAGTGAGTTTCATAAACTCACTTTAAAAGTGAGGTTATGAACCTCTGTTGTCATGTAATAACTTTTTACCAAAGTAAGCAAATAATGACGTCATTAATCTGAGTATTTCATACTTAGATCACTTCAGACTGTTTTACTTGTGTGTAAGTGAAAAGCAAGTAGTGTATAATCAGTACAATATTGTTTACGAAGACCTCTTTTTAACACATGAGTATGATCACCACAACATAATTTGATGGTATTAGCCTTTTATTATATATGTAACATAAGATATGTAATATATGCATAAATCAAAAGAATCTAATAGCATTTTTCATTTGCAGAACTGGTGCGCACTTAGTGCACATTAAACTGTTGTATACTGTCTTAATCTGAATGTAAAAGTGAGATATCTCAATTAATAAAATGTATAATTTATCAAATATCACAATAAAATGTATTGAGGAATCACATTTCATGATTTATTCGTTTCTATATTTTTATTAAACGTACATCTTTACGTCGATTTGTGTACAATGGCTTTAAAATGCACTGAGTATGTACCAGCTCTGCCAGTGAAAACGCTACAACACTTGTGACGCTGTTAGTTAGAACTGAAAGAAAGGGATATTTATACAATTAAAGACCAGATTTGTGGCAATATAATTTATTTAGCGTTCTCGTTCCTATACTTTATATTACATCAAAGATGCTTCTAAGCTGAATTTCTATACGCTCGATGGAAAGCATTTCCATTTTTCTGATTTTAACCCAGATAGCAAAATGTTAGCAAGACGTCGACAGATTGGTAGCAGATTTGATCAGATGTTAGCAGACTGACCACAACTGATGTCGCATTCTGTTCCTATTCTGCCGACAGAACCTGTTAACATTCTATACAAGCAGATTAACAACAGAAATCAAACAAAACCTGTTGACAGAATCTGATAGGAAATTGCAAAAACCGAGCAGAGTTTGTTGATAAAACTTCAGCAGATTGGCAGCACAAATCAAGCAAGATCTGTCATTTTCATTTAAATCGACCTGATTTCTTATAAGAAATTTTGTATACATATATATATATATATATATATATATATATATATAAACGGTTACATATAATTATATATAATTATAAGATCTAGGCTCTAGCGAATAAAATCATCACAAGTAATCATGCCAATAAGAACCGACACATACTATTGGTGTGTATGTATTTATTCAAGTATATATAAAAGATTAATTACGCAAACATTTCGATTCTTTGTTTAGGGTCATCTTCAATGCTATTCAAATTAACGCTTTCGTCAAGAATTAAGAATTAAAATTACAATTAAGTCGCTTTTTCATATTACATAGTTCTTACAGATTATCAATGCGTCAAGCCTGTGTTCCTTCGTCCAATATATAGATCCCTATTTGACAGATTAACTAAATAATAAATTAATTACATATATAAGTAAGTAAAATACAGATTATATTTTAACAAACTTACATATTAAGCTATGTTAGTCTGTTGTTATCTGTTCGATATGTGGGGATAAACAATCGATGTTTTTTGTACGAAATAATTATTGTGGAGAGGGAGAAAATCTCATGTTGTAAATAATATATCTAAGTATGCAGAATCTAACAGATCAATATCATTTTTTAAATTTAAATCATTTTTTTGCTGTTTTATATAGATCATTTCGGATATAAGCCATCTTTGTAAAAAGTTTGGGACGAGTAGGGCCATATATTCATGCCACCTTGTATATTTATATTGTATATACTGGAGTGAAAACTGGAAACAATTAGTAATTTTATTGCTAAAATATTATCGATTAGCTTCTCATTTCAAAATATACATGAGAAAGTTATAAAATAATCAAAGAAATATTCGGAAATTCAGAAAGCACACTCCGAGAGAGCTTAGGAATCTCAGGATTTGCCTATTCAATTTACATACGCCAATTCTTGTAGGATTCCTGGATGTTTTCTTCTTACGAGAAGTAAGTCCATCTCGTGGCGAGGCCGTATATAAAAATGACAGATCTTGTTCGGTTTCTGCGGTTAGGTTATGTCAGCAGGATCTGCTGTTACGTGCAAGATACGCTGTAATATATAATATAACGATAAGAACGATTCGAATTCTGTCTTCAGAACAGGCTTTATTTAGAGATAATACAATTGGCAAGCTTAAAACTAGTTGTAAGAACGACTTACAGGAGTGGACTGATTAAATCTGAATTGGAAAGATCTTCATCAAGAAAGAGGTTTGTTGAAATTAGCCAATAAGATAACATGTTCAAAAATCCAATAAGTATGCGCGGTAAGGGTAGATAGAAACGTGAGTTTTTGTGACTCAGGAATCCATCTGCTAATCATAAAATATTTGTAAATATTACAAATATTTCCCTATAAGACTAAATATTTAGAAAGAGTCAAAAGGATAGGGAAAAAAAAGGACAAATGCGGGTATTGAAAATGAGCAAGGAAATAACTGAAATAAGATTTATTTCTAAAAGAGAGAAACGTGAGAGTATTTAGTTCATATAATCGTACTACATATAATACGATAACATGAATCAAATATCGATTTATCATTTTCAGCCTTGAAAAGTGAACGATGTACCCTAAGAAAAGTGGACGTTGCTATGTAGTTTACATCCACTTTGCCAAAGGACAGTAGTGCGCAGCAGCATTTTGCGGTTACAGGTTTTGGGCCATCTTGTCCTCTCTCAGATTTCTCTCTTATAGTTCATGGAGGATCAAAATCCTATGATTTTGTGCGGAGTCCTTTCGTTTAGAATATAGATTGCTGTTTTTAATATATGAATATCTAGGTTAGGCGTTTTACCAATATTTAAGTGGATAACCGTGATATTTACATTACGTTCCTTAAGGGGATCTTAAAGCGAAGCTCGAACTTCGATGAAGTCACCAGAGGTCGCGCCGCACATGTTTTTATATATAATACTACCACATCAATATTTCACGCAACTTATGATACACGCAGTCGCATATTCGTGTCAATTTTCAAATAACAAATTCGTCGCGGTAAAGCGTCTAAGTCTAATTCTAAGAATTCGATGTTGTTTATTCGTGTAAACTACGTATCTGGGAACCACTATTTCGTACGTACAGGTTGCAAAGCTTTCATATCTAAGCAAATGTTGACTTGACAATTGAGATGACATGTTATACTAAGAAATGGTAAAAAATATAACAATTTTGAAATTTTTGATCGTTCTTGGCATAGATTCCATTTTCCTATACACGTATTAATGCATATACTTTAATCCTGGAAAAGGATTTTCGAATCGGTGAAAGAGGAAAAAAGTATTTGTTATACAAAAATTACATGATTTAATCATAAAACAGAAGGCTTTAGGATCCCCTTAAGATCCTCACATAATTAGTAGTATTAAGTTTAATGTTAGGAATGTAATCTGTTTCGACAGTATTTATAACTTATAGTTTGATTACATAACAATGTATTATCAGAAATAGCATCATAATTCACGGAAAGCTTAATAAGTCCGATTGAATACAATTGTGTTCGTCGCAGTTTACTATCGTTACATAAAATATGAAGTCTTGTTTTGAGGAGCTGGGTATAACCAAGAATTCGGAATTTTCAATTGATATCAAGCGTTATGAATTCTCATGACTCGAATATCGCATTCTTTTAATATGTTCTCTAATCTGGTTGATTTTAATAATTCCGATTCACAATTATAAATCGCTGAAGCTTGATATAAGAAGTCTGTTTACAAATCATTATATTATTAATTTTCCCATACTTACTCAAGTAGAACAAAAAAAAACTGTTGAAAAAACGTCAGCAACAGTTACAAGTAAACATTTTTAATACGTTATAAGTGTCTGTATAGGAAACGTTAGAAATAACGATTAATTGAACATTTATGAAACTAGTATAAAAACTTTATAAAACTTTATTTTTTACTGTAACAGATTTTAAAACGTTTACCAGCAAGTTTATCTAACGTTTTTACAACATCTATATAACCCAGTTTTATAATAGGTCCTGGATGTCCGTTCACTGAAAAAAAGCACGTAATTTTACATGAAAGTTACATGTATATGACCGAAAAATTATCTAAATATGACTGGAAATTTTCAGTAAGCAGCTAGTGAAGGGACGATTAGAAAAGCTCTGATTGATACCTATGTGAATCTGGCACCCGACTTAAATATAATATTTTAGTAATTATCTAATATAGGGGAACACCCTCCTATGAACTTGACTTTGACATATGTGATCAAGGTCATGACCCCGAGTGACCTTCAAAAGATTTTAGCCCGCGGTCGTCCTTCGTTAAAAAGTTATTAACAAGAAAAGTTTGAAAAAGTGATTTATTCCTGCTTTATACAATATTAAAAGCTATTCTGTACCCTTACTTGCTACGTAATGTACATAAAGCAACTTCCACTGCTTCCCTCTGCTTGGGGGACCATGGTATATGGTTAGGATTAAGTTATTATATACTCATAGATATATAATAATCTAACTCTAATCATAGTGCATGGTTGGGTTAGGGTTCTAATCCAAAAGAACACACTATATTTCTCTTTCTAGAGAAAGAGAAACATAAAGTGTGTTAAACAAGGAAAGATTTGTACCAATTTTACGACGCGAAACAGGTCGATATTCATAATCGATTCTTACATATAAGAATGTAGTCTTAAGTACAATCTTCAGAAGTCATAAGTCAATCTTGTATTAGCATCTTAAAACATTATTTAAGACAGTTTTAAAATAAAAACAGACTATGAATACACCGTCTCATCGCGTTTTACAGTTGGCAGCCTTAGTCTCTTATAGACATTCGTAGACAGAGACGGCGGAGATTTAAAGAGAGAGAGACGATTACAGACTGAGCACACTATGGATGCATTCTGAATTACGCATGAATCGCATGATGTATTATTTTATTCTTCTTTATTATTTGGTGAACAACAAGGACAAATAATACATTATGCGCTTCATGCGTAATTTGGAACGCACCCCATGTTATTCCTTCCATCATACTTTATATGCAGGCGTGAAACGAGAATCAAGTGAGTGTGTCCTTTTCTAAGGTGCTCCGCACAATAAAAGGAACAGAGAACAGAGAATTTCAACCTATCAGAAACTGTGTATTCCACAATACATGATTTCTGATGGGTTGAAATTCTTATTCTCTGTTCTCTGTTCCTTTTATTATGCAGAGCCCCTAAATGAGGGCTACCCCCACTCCTCGAATGTTCGGTCTAGAGATACTATATCTATGAACGCGAGATATACGAGGACAAATCAATAAGTACCCATGTTTCAAGACAGGCGGCATTGCTGATGCAAGTTGGCATTACTATCGTGTACTATTATCATCTTTCAAACGATGCCATACAAAATTTCAAAATGATTCATGCAATATTTTGCATGATAACTTGGGAATGAAGAAGCTGTCGGATGCTGATGGATGCCGCGATTATTCACGATGGACAACAAGCGAATGCGGTTATCAATTTCAAATTTCACCCAAATTGGTCGAATTGTGCTGTGAATTGCTGCCGCATCCACCGTACTCTCCGGATTTAGCCTTCTGTGATTTCTTCTTGTTTCCAAACTTGAAAAAATGGCTCGGTGGAAAGAAATTCACGTCGAATGAGGAGGTCATCGCCGAAACAGAGGCCTATTTTGCAGAGTTCGACAAATCGTATTTTTCTGAGGGGTTAAAAAAATGGTAGAAGCGTTAGGAAAAGTGTATCCTCCTAAAAGGGGATTACGTTGAAAAATAAAAAAAATTTTTGTGAAAAGCTTGCGTCTTCGTTACTAACACTGGTACTTATTGATTTGCCCTCATATATCGGATCATCTAAAAAGTATCCGCGGTACTTTGTCACTAGATATATGATCATCAACACACATGTAGTGACAAAAAACCGCGGATATTTTTTAGATGACTCAATATCATGTCGAGAAGTTGATAACATACTTAATCTTTCCTTCTATGATATATTTTATCATGCATCTTAGTTTCTCTTTCTAATCTTCATAATTTCTTAAATTAAATATTGAATAAAAAATTAAATGAACAATGACAATGTCAATAACTAATATGGAATAAGTAAAAGGATATCACAAATGCAGTAAATACCATATTAATTATTATTATGAAATTATTAACATAATTTACCCTTCGTTGACACACTTTTCTCATTTTTACAATGAGAAAATACGGTATTAAAAAATTCTGAAAAAATTCTAAAAAATTTCTTAGAGCTCTGTAAGAAGAAAATAAACATTTTTTGTCTCGTGCAGTTTTTCTGTAAAGTTGATGGTATTTGAGTAAAAAATTATTGAAGATCAATTTTCGGCAATTTTTAACAATCTTGTTAATTATTGCAAAAATTGCAAAATAATAAAGAACTTTTCTCCTTAGTTTAGTCTATTTTGCTCCTATGCGAAAGATTTATCATTATTTTCCAAACACTCTGTATATGTTTATGCATATTATATATATTCACAAATGAAAAATTTTTTGCTGGGTAAAAATAATACATACAGCCATAAAATAATAAATATTATTTAATAACAAAATACAGTGCGATTTTTTGTAAATGTAGAATAGTTTAATAGTTTAATGCAACAGTAAGTAATTATACGCGGTATAATACATTATTATTATTATTATTATTATTATTATTATTATTATTATTATATGTAAAGAGCTCTAAGAATTTTTTTAGAATTTTTTAATACCGTATTTTCTCATTGTAAAAATGAGAAAATGTAGTACATTATTACATGCAATTATTATTATATGCAAAGTATTCATAAAATATTTATGTAATAAACTTCCAGATGCAAAATCGTATAGATTTTGAAAAAATTGTTCGAAGAAACGATTATTTAGCTGCAAATCCTTCTAGTATTGCATTTTCCTATCCATTTTTCTTGCTTTGCTGTCGAAAATCTCATTGAATGATCATAGTCCACTTTTTAATGTTCTTTTTTCTTCTTTTCTCTCAAAGAAAAAAGAAAAAAAAGATGAACTGGTGCAAAAGTTCAGCCAAAAAATACAGACCTCTCTCCTCATGAGTTATTAGGCTTGTTCTTTTTGGTTGAACTTTTGCACCAATTCATCTTTCTTCCTCTTCTTTCCTCTTGGAGAGAAAAAGAAGAATTATAAACTGATGCAAAATTTCAAAAAGAACAAACTTACTGTTTTGCTCGCACGCACGTATATCTATATAAAAGGGCAAGAAACAGAAAATATTATTTAAAAATAAAAGTTTTATGTTTTGTTTTGCAGATTATATCCATAAAGCGATTATGTGCAGAAAAAAAGTTCGAAGTGACAGACAATTTGATAACGTGGATTACACACAACTTACAGAAACCGATAATGATTTCTTTGATTCACAAGTGAGTAAAAAAACAATATAACGATTCATTCATCATATAATTATAAAGTAATATTTATTTTTATTGTTATTGTGTTTAAAAATTTATTATTTAATTTTTTTTATTATTTGATTAATCCTTTCGAGTTATATTTAAAATTATATTTTGTACAATCAAATAAAAAATATTTGTTAATTTTTAGTTTGTAAGTCCACCAATAAAAATACCATGGAAAGCTATTATGTTAGCAGTTCTCTTATTCATTGGAGGCACTATCATGCTTATAATGGGAAGCTTGATTGTAAGTGGACACATTGATTCAAAAGTAAGATTTATTTTATTGTTGTAAATTATATAAAAATTAAATTTATTCTTTAATTGTTTGTGCATCATATTTTATAATACATAATAATTTTAAGCAAGTATGCAAATACGAGATGTTTTATCTAATATAGCATGCTCTAATAGATTTAAAGATATATTCAGTGTTGTGTATGTAATAGATACTTTTTGAAAGATACCTAGGTATAAATATAAGTACTGTGTGAGAAAAGTGTCCCTAATACAGGTATAAACATTAAAAAAAATTGCTTAGATATAATATAGAACGTATTCCATTTGATGCTCGCAATGCTCATGGAATTAGAGTATGTAATAAGAGTATGGACAACAGAACGTGAATGAGGCAAAATCGGAAACGTATCGAAACGCGAGCGAATTTTCAAATGTGAAGTGTAAAACTGAAATTGTATAATATTCTTGAGACTTCCACGAGTGCTTTCTATAGATAAAGATTATGCGTTTCGCGGGTTTTTCTCCGTGTCTAGATCCATTCTTGGAATATCAACGTTTCGTGAACCTTGCAATCCACTTCATCAAGGCGAGGAGCAGCCTGATACTGAGATGTTCCTCCGAGCCGTTCCTTTTATTTTACGCTACGTTGAAATGATGGAGGGAAAGAAGAGAATTATGGGGGAAGGGAGGGGAATTGGTCGGTCTTCAATAATCGGGAGAATAGTTTTCTATTTTATATATATAGAAAACCATTTTCCTGAATCCAAGAATGGATCTGGACACGGAAGGAAACCCGCGAAACGCATAATTTTTATACTGAAATTGTATGTACATATAACAATGGATGCATTCAGAAGAACGCAACCGTTTTATGAATGTCTGCTGAAATAAGATCATTCCTCTAGATGTGATCTTAAAATGTAATTTAATCAGCGCGAAGAAAACCTCCAACAATTGCAAAGCAAATATTCTGCTGAACGCAGAAGGAGAGAGTCAATGATTTTATAATGAATAAATTAAAGAAGGATAACAATAGAGATAAAATACGCAAATAGAATAAAGTAAAATTTATTTAAAAATAAATAGTATGAAAATGAATGAGCTTAAAAAAAAAGATTCAAGATTTTCAAGAGTATTAACTACTTTTTACATGCGCGCGCGCGCACGCACACACACACACACACACACACACACACACACACAGTGATGAATTATAAAAATCAATTAATGATGAATTATAAAAAGGGAAATTAATAAAATAAAACAATATAGATTAAAGAAAGGTAAAGAAACAATAATGCAACAAGGAACTTTAATTTAACTCATGAAAATAATATAATAATTACAAAGAACAAAACATACGTTTCGACTCCGAGCAAATCATTTTCAATGTTACGGTAAACATATTCCAACATATCTTTATAAACTAATAATCTATATAATATTGTAAAATCGTTATTTATTATATTTTAATTAGTTTAAACGAATAAAAATGTATTTTATAGACTTATGATCATTTTTATTCGTTTTGTATAGTGCTGCATGTATAGGAACATGTAGATGCACATAGGACAGAGGTGTGCATATATCGTCCTATGATAACCTATAGGCATTTTCATTCTCCATGGGATACTCTTTTTTGTCTTCCGTATATCTACATGTTACTATACATCAAACTGATATCCTATAGATCTTTTAGTTCTCATGGGGCATCTGTCCATGGTACCTGTGGGTACCTCTATTATCCTATTTGCATTCCTATGAATGTTCTACATATACCTATGCATATTGCACAAATCCTATAGATAACTACACAAACTCCTACAGAATCTTATAGTCCTCTATAGGAACCCATAAAAAAACCCATGGGAATTTGCAGCAAGGTATACTTGTATCTTTTTGCTTATAATTTGTTAAATTTGAATAAGTTAATGTATCAGTTGAAAATAGCATCAAATCACAACATTTTAAACCATTTTGTATTGCATCTTTCAAATTTTTTGATGTCATAGCTTTTTCTAAAACTAGAGCAAAAGTTTCTTTTCCTATAAATTTCTCTTCGTTTTTTAATCTCCAATTAAAAACTTCTTTTTTCCAAGCATTTTTTTTTAGAGGGTGGAAAACAGACATCAGAGAAAGGTTGTAATATATGAGTTGCATTTGGATACAAGGCAATTAATTCAATTTGAACACTGCGGCAAAATTTCACATTAATGATCACATTAATGGGAAGTTAAATGTGAGGAGTATCCATCAATATACAAAACAATAGAAATTTAATATTATTGATAACCAGCCATTGATAAAAGTTATTACTGATGAATGAATTCAAAGAAGAATTCTGCTGTCATCCATCCTTTCTCAGACCAATTGACCAATCTTGTGGAAATTGACTAGAAATCCTATGTGGTATCGTTTGTACATAAATTATCATAGGAGGTACGAACACACCAGCAGTATTAATCATAAGTAACATAGTCAAATATTCTTTATTGTTATTTACAATTTTGTGACTGATTTAGATTCTTCTTTCACAAGTACATACTCTTCTTTTGGAGAAGAAAAGCAGATTCATCACAGTTATAAACTCTTGAAGAATTTATTTCTAACAAGTTTAATCTTTCTAAATGTTACCGAACTTCATCAAACCAATTACGTATGTTGTCTTCAGTAACTGCAGCCATATAGAATTAAGAAGAACATTAAGGGATTTGAAAAAAGAAAGAATCAGCAAGGAAATTTACGTGTGAAAAAAAAGATACAAAGAATGATATGAGAGACAAAAAAAGAAACATAAAGAGGAGGAAAAGGAAAAAATACGAAATAAGATATGAAGTAGAAGGAAGAATATATATTAAGTAATATATATATATTAAGTATACAGAGAAAAAAGTAAGAGGGATAAATGAGAACATAGAAATGGACGAATGGAGTTGTTAAAGAGAACACAGGAGAAAAGAGTATTGTTGCTAGGTAAAATGATGAAAACGAAGAAGAAAGAAACGAGGAGAGAAAAGGGGAAATAGAAGATATTGCGAAAGAAGAGCTGATAGAAGTGAAGAGCTGAAGAAATTAAAGAAAGTGAAGGCATCATAGAGAAGATGGAATAGAGAAGGAGATTCATGTTCAAGGAGAGTGGAGAAGAATTTTGAAAGCAAATCAATAAAGTGTGGAAAGGAGAGGGAATCCCGGTAGACTGGAACAAAGGCATAATAAGCTCTATATACAAAAAGGAAGAGAGAGAGGTGATTAAAAATTACAGAGGAATCACATTGATGGGTACGGCATACAGAATCTATGCGAGTATATTAAATGAAAGGTTAGAAAAAGAAGTAACTGAAGTTGAAGGAAGGGCAATTTAGAAAAGAAAGAGGAACGATGGATGCGATATATATATTGAATTATGTAGTTAACAGAGAGCTGGACAGGAAGAAGGGAAATATATTCGTCTTCTTTGCTGATTTAAAAGCATTTGACAACGTAGATAGAAGAAATGAATTAATGAAGGGGATGGAGATAGAAGAGAACACGAGACTGAGAATTATGGAAACGTATAAAGAAACGAGAAATGTATTTAAAATAGGTGATAAAAAATCGGAAGAATTCTGGACAGAAAAAGATCTTAGGGACAGGGATGTCCTTTGAATCCATCTCTGTTTAACATATATGCGTCGAACTTGAAAGAGGAGATGGAAAAAGGACAGAGAAGGCATTGTAATAAGAAAGGATAAATATTGGTCAATTATGAATGCTATGACGACGTGATTCTGCTGATTGATAGAGAATTAGAGCTAAAGGAAATGTTGAAGAGATTCAAGAAGTTTTTGGGAAGAAAAGATCTGAAAAAGTCCGAAAAAATTGAAAGTAATGGTGTTCGAAAAAAGAAGAGGCGGCATGAAAAAAAGAACATGAAAATGGGAAGAAGGGGATATAAAGAAAAAAATAAAATATTTGGAATATACTCTGCAGAAAAATGGAAGGGCAGAAAAGCACATTAGAGAGAGGATGAAGAAAACAATAGTAGCAATGAAGCATTGGAGAGAGATTATTTAAAGACAATTTCAGGAGAAGAATGAAGATGTTTAATTCACTGGTGGAAAGTATACGCTATACGGAGCAGAGGTGTAGGACTGGCAAGAGGATAGAAGACTGGATGGAATAAAAAGAAAATACGTAAAGTGGATTTTAGGATTGAATTACAGAATATCGAATTACATATTAGCGGAAGAAAATAAGAGAAATAAAAACGAAAGCGATTAGAAAAGCAATCAAATATGAAGAAAAAAATAAGAAGTACAAAGAAGAAGCTGATACAGAAATGGAAATAAAGGACTTAGAAAAGGAGCGTCCATTAAAGGAAGAAAGCAATTGGAAAAGGAAAAGGAGGAAAATGCTGGAGAGAGCAAGGATGAGTAAGAAACAAGTGAGATTAGAAAGAGAGGACAGAGATAGGAATATAGCTAATGAAGAAGATAGAGAATAAGGAGAAGGAAGAAAGGAGATTGAAGATAAATGAGTCTACAATTACAATTATAAAAGCATAATGACAAAGAAAGTACCAAAATATCTGGAAAAAAAAAGAAAAGAAGGACAGAAGTCTGATACAGATGTGGAAGTGAAACGAAGAGGAGCCAGTATTGGAAAAAGATTAAAGACAGGAGTTGCAGAATATGCCTGGTAGAGGAAAGCATATTTCATATATTAAAGAAGTGTGAAGCGACAAAGAATGAGCTGCTGATGGAAGTTTTTAGGGGAAGAAGGTAGAAGTCTGGAAACAATGAAGATAATAGACAAAGCAAGGAAGGAGATGAAAGAGAGAAGGGAAACAGAGAAGAAGGAGAATGTTATGTAACTGGATTTTTTATATTTACACAGATAACCATGTATCACAGATAACCATGAGGCGAATTCGGTCAATGCGATTAATTCAGTAGTATTTTTGACACACAGCTAGTCAGTCGCTGCAAGAGTATCAAGCCCTTAGACTTGGCGGGTATATATAGGTTATGTTAATTTGCGATAATGGACTAGGCTAGAATGTAGGACAGGGTAGTGAGTTCACAAATAGTCAGTAGTTTTATATTTATTTGAAATTATTAAAGTTTATTTAATATAGTGGAATGGATTATAATGTACATATATGTTTTGTATGGAATGTAAACTGGAAGCCATCCTAAGCAACGTAGCAAGGATTAAAATAAATAAAATAATAATAATATAATTATATATAATCATATATAATCGTTTATATACAATATATACGCAAAATTTCTTATAAGAAACCAGGTCGATTTAAATGAAAATGACTTATCTGGACAAATCTTGCTCAGTTTTAATTGCCAATCTGCCATCAAGTTATATCAAGACTGCTTGATTTTTGTCTGTAAATTGCTGGCAAAACATGTCAACAGGCTTTGTCGACAAATCCATAGCCAAATACGGTTATAGATGGCTATGTTTTTGTAGTCAAAATCTGATCGAATTTGCTGCCAATTTGCGCGCAAATTGCAAACATTTTGCTATCAGGGATAGACCAAGCATTTTGTTCACTTAAAGCTGGAAGATGACAGGGTCTGTGATACTTCTTTCTATCTTTAAAGAAAGCATAGAACTTCAACATGGATAATCATTTAAACTATAGGGGTATATCGAATCGTAAAATTATCGGATATCAGATATTGGATATCCAAAAGTGTGACACCAAATATCCGATCCGGATATTTGGAACAACGCTTCCAAAAAAAAGCAAGGGAAAAAATAGCTATAATTTTTTTTGAATTTCCTAACGTGAAAAGAAAACGAGGAAAGATGAACCGTGCAAAAAGTTCCGCTGAAAAAAATACAAATTCTGCATTAATGACGCAAACTTTCAATATAAAATTTCAGTCAGATATATGTATTAGGTGTTGGAATTAATTCGTAGCGTTTTACAAGTGATGGGAAGTACTTTCATTAATGTATTTTTTAATGCTCATGTGAAATAAATAACATTCTTTTATTAAAAAACGCTACGAATTAATTCCAACACCTAATATATTACCGGACACTAATGATATTCGACTATCCGATCGAATAGCAAAAAAATACTTGATATTTTACGGATATCCAGTACATATCCCTAATTTAAACAATTTCTGGCTTCATCTTTTACTAAAACTCTATTGAAAAACATGGAAATGTTTGGTTTTGTATATATGTCGTTAGTATATGTAGATAAATATCTTGTACCTATGTATCTATATATAAACTTCTTTAGAGTTCCTAAATAGACTTCCGATCCAATTAAGAGAGAGAGAGAAGATCACAATTCCATGGTAATTAAACTTGAAAGGTATCCTACAAAAAAGTACTTAAGTACACGTACAGGTATCGCCTATAAAGATCTAGAATGCACTTAGGTATTGTTAAAGTATTTAAATATTTATACCTACGTACATTACAACACTGGATATATTAATTGATTATTCTAGTACCTGTTGAAATCACATATATTTTTATAAAAATTCTGTTACATTATAGTATTCAGATCGGATATGGCCAGTGATAATTTTAGGAGCCTTGATGTTTATACCGGGAGCTTATCATATGAGGGTAGCTATTTTAGCGTATCAGAAAGTACCTGGCTATTCTTTTGATGATATACCTGAGTTTGATTAAGATTTGTATGTATATATGTATGTACACAGTACTTATTAATTCTATTTGAAAAAATCAATTTATACTGAGAAATCATTTGTTTATACAATAGAGATTAAGGCTGCGGTTCACTTGCTTCTTTCAAATGTTCTGAACTACACTCCGAACGCTACGCTCCGATTGGTCCATTACTGTTCTGAATGCTACAATTGCTACATGTGTGAACGCTCCAATCAACCTACTTCCCGAGAAAGAGTTTGAGCGAAGCGGGAGCAAAAACGATGACGTATTAATGATGTAATCAGAATTGCTGGGAGCGTCCCGAATCCAATGGACTAGTTACATTAGTGCTAAAAAAAATGCTCTGTAGCGCTTGAAGTGCTAAGGGATCGCAGCCTAAATCGCAAAAAATAAAATAATACGTATTTTTGTGATAGCATTTTATATAGTGAAAATAGTAGAGATATGATACACATTTCTAGATTTACGATTATTACCACCATGTTTCTTTATAAAATATCTTCTTTACATTTACACAAATGTTACAAAACTAAAATGCAATATTCAATATCTAAAATATGGCAAAAATAATTTTAAAATAAATTCGTCTATATTTATGTAAAAGTAGTTATAATTGAAACAGTTCATTACGAATTATGCAATTATATGATATGTTTACATTACATGTTTATATTATTTTCTTAGCCTGATAAATATACACAAATGTAAATTAATTACTATATTCATATAAAAATTCTTAAGTTTTACTTATATCTTTGTTTATTATGTATAGTTTTATACATACAAAGTAAATAGACGAGTTTAGATAAAAATTTAAACATATATATATATATATATATAAATAAACAGTAAAATATTTGTCTTTGCATGATAAAATGATTAATAAAATTACAAAATATAAATATCTGTAAGATAAAAAAAAATGGAAATGAATAAACAAAATTTTGTCCTTATATATCATTTTAAATGCAATGTCACGTAATATAGAAATAAAATATAAATAAAGTATATGAAAGTCATATGTTTTCTAAACACTGTGCGCATATTTTTCATTAATATCAAAGTCTAACAATTAAAAAATATTTGAGCTTTTAATTTAATTAAATATAATACGTATAAAGTATAAATGCTCAATATTATAAAATAAAATAACATCTTTTTTCATATTTTAAAATAATAGAACAATATTTCAATATTTTTCAGTATTCTTTTTCTCTCTTGTACTTTACTTGTACTAAATAATTAATATTAGTTCATATTATTAATTAAGGAATTTATCTATTGTTTGATCTCATTGTGTATTAGTATCCGAAAGAAGTATGATGTTAATTGCAATGTTCGGTCTTCAAATAATTTATAATGCTTTTGCTTTGTAATTTATATATTCTACCTTTACCTGGCATTAATAATATAGGTGGATCAAATCGTTTTAAAACATTTCTGATTAATACCTTTATGTTCACAATAGCTTTATTATTATTATACTTTTGCAAATTTATGCAATGAAACTGTTCATTAATCGATTTTATCTGGAAAGTAATAGTATAAGATAGTGATTGAAATATAATATAAATAATTAGAAAATAGAAAGAATATTATCACTAGTAAATACCGATAATAAGCCAGACGTGTCCAAAATATTCTAAATAAATATTGTAATTTATAATAATCTCGTTTATAAAAATGTGCTTACCTCCAGGATAAGATATACTTTGATTTGATAAGGTTTAGCAAACTCAATCGCATGTCCAACATTTATTATAAGATGTGTTAACAATTGCAAAAATGTAAGATATATTTCTTCTTCTGTTAAATCAGTATTTATAATGACGTGTGTTACTGGCCACAACTATATTGTGTGAATATGTTATTTATATATATATATATATTTTTTTAATAATTTAAAAATTACTTAAAAATAAAAATTGCCAGAAGAGAAATGTTACGAATCAAAGCTACTTGTTAAATGCTAATGATTAATCTATCTTTAATACCTAATCGATATAAACATTAGATATACAAACATTTTAACCTTCAGATCATCCTCAGTTTAAAATATAGTAATTAAATTAATTGAAAATAAAAATAAATATAAAAAGGTCGCAATATCGATTACACATACTAAGTAATTATTTAAATATAAAATATTTGATATCATTAATATGATATTAATATGATATCAAAAATATGATATCATTAATACTAAAAGTATCTGTAATTTTTTTTAATAGAAAAATTAAGAATATATTGTACGACTCGTAGCCTTTCTCTTCTAGCAATTTTTATTTTTAAAATACTTTGAGTCAGAATATTTTAATTATTTTTTTAAGAATTTAATGACTAATGTTAAAGAAAGAATATACAAAAATATTAAATACATAAAAAAATTATTTTTCATAAATTGATTAATTTCTCTTTTTACTGTATTAATTTGTAAATAAAGTTGATTATGTATTTACCTTCACTGCTGGATAGATACCTATTCCTTCTGCATAATTATACATCTGTCTCGCTAGATTTTCGTTCATATGAATTAATGTTGAAGCTAGTGCGCGACACGTTGTGGTACTTAATGCAAAAGTATATTTAAGTACTAAGTTGGCCATCTCTGTGATTAAATTCGAATCTTTTTTTGACAAAGATAACATTATTAACTTGTCCACGTAACGAGATAAATCTAAAAACGATAAAGATAAATTTTATTAAATATTATTAAGAGTACAATATAGTTTAGAATTTTTATACATGTTATTAAGAATGCAATATAATTAACACTAATTTATGATATAAATATAATAATCACAAGAACATGGCTATAGAATTTTACTTTACCTATTGGATAATACTGACTGCTTTGATCTTTAAATAAAAATTGAAAAAGAAAGAAAGCATACTCAACAAATTCATTACAAAATGAATCCAATAACATATATATTATTTTGGTCCGTACATGCTCATCATTAACGGTGCTTTTAACAAACCACTTATCACGACTAGTATATAAAATATTTTTGTCTGAAAAATTAATACAAATAAATTATATATTAATATGATAAACAATAACAATAAAAGAAAAAAAAAGATAATTTGAAATTTATTTCATGTCGATTTTTTATAATTGATGAATTTATAATTAATGTTTGTTAGAAATAAATTATGTTCACTGTTAAAGAATTTTGTATTTAAAATATTTATTGATGTTTTTATACTCATTATCAATATTTTTTATAACATACATATGTTAGTATTTATATACGTTCAAATTAAAAAAAAATTGATCTCTGTAAAATAAACTCACATTTAAGTAAATCATATGCTTTTACTGTCTTTTTGTTAGCCAAGTAAATCTCGGCCGATAGCAAGAAATATTCGGCATTATATTGTAAATCATGTATATTAAGTGTTTGAATCAAACCTAATGCAAGCCCCCAAGCTTCGTTGTCCATTAAATTGATCAAAATGTTTAATCCTATGTCAAATAAGATTTGACCTAAAATATCAAAGATACCCATTTGGACTGAAAAATCCAAATGTATGAATTAGGTAGTAAGATTATAAATAAAATTTGTAGTCTAAAGTTTATTGATATTTTATTTATTTTATTATATTACATGTGATACATAAAATATATGCAATACATACATCGCGTACGTTATTCAATTAATAAAGAATATTCTTTTATAATTTATGCATTAAATGAAAAAATATTTTAGAATGTCATTAAGTAAAAAAATATGTAGAAAGTTTTAGTTGATATAAAATTATATCTTTCGTCATATATAATGATACTTAAAATCTCTTGATACTTAAAATCTATGATATATATACGTGCAATATATATATTACGTATAATTCATATATATAAGTTGTATTTTGCTGTATATACATAGCAATAACAATTCGTAGATATAGAAATCGTCTTCATATTGTGATTACTTGATTATCAAATATGAATAATAAAAAGAAAACGATGTCAATAAAGCAAGAAAGATTGTACATATGATATATATTATAATACAACCTATATTTTGCATCTAACACCTTTTAAATATTTTATTTATTAAAATATTTATTACCTGTGCGACGTATGATGTTTCTTAAGTGATATTCTGAACGTTTTACCTCTGTACGAAATATATTACAACAAGAGCGAACAAATAATGGACTTTCATCTTGCTTTTCTGTGTAATTTTTTAAAATATTAATAACGTAATCATAATCATGGTGTATAAGTCCCTTTTTAAATCGATCTAAATCCACATAAAATTTCCAGAGATGTTCATGATCTCTATAAATGGATCGTGCATCGGGTAAATCATCTACAAAAAAGTGTATATATATATATACACACATACATACACACAGATGAGTTTTAGACTTTATAAAAAATGTTCACTATCGTCGAAAAGTTTTCGATCATAAAACTTAAAATTGCATAATATTCAAGTTACCACAACTCGGTTAAAAAAATCATCGCAGATGAAAAATACAAAAACATTTTGAAACTTGAAATTTATACTTTTTGTAAACTTTTTTAAACTTAAAATTTTTACAGTTATGTATCTTAAATATCATGTTATATTTCTTAAAATTATATGCATTTAACAGTGCCTAGTTTGATAAGTTTTTTTTCAAAAAGTTCAATATTTTACAGTACAAAGATTTATCTCCAAAATGTTTTAAAAAATTTTTTGGATTTTTCTTGATTAAATTGCGCAACATTGAAGTTAAACCTGCATTACTAAATAACCAACAGTAAAATTTGATTTAAAAATATTAAAAAAATATTTTACCATCTCAATTCTGTAGAATTAAATTTAAAAACGATCAGAAATTAAAATACAAAGTTCGAGATTCAAAATGTTTCTTTAATTTTTTACGATGGTATTTCACCAAATTTTAATGTTGGTTGTGAGCTATGTAGGTTTAATAAATCAGTCAAGAAAAAGTATAAGAAAATTTTTCGAAGTGCATTTTGGAGGTAAATCTTTGTATTGGTTCAAATATATTAAATTAAAAAAAAAACTTTTTATTAGACTGTGTCACTGTTAAATGTAATGTAATCTTAAGAAATACAACGTGATATTTGTTAAAATACAGAACTGTAAAGACAAAATTTTTTTGAAAAGCGGTCAAAAACATGTTAAAAGTATAAGTTTCAAGCTTTAAAATGTTTTTTTATTTTTTTGTCTGCGATGATTTTTTACCGAGTTACCTGAATATTATGCAATTTTAAGTTCCATGTCCGGAAATTTTTCGATGGATGTACGCATATGCGCGCATGCAAATATACAACGCACAATTATTCTCTTTTTTCTTACACAGCTAACAATAAAATAAATAATTACCGATAGGTTGCATGATATAATTTTCTCCATTCATTTCGATATTTATATAGTCCTTACTTTTATTTATAAAAGTATTATCACATCTTGGAGATTCTTGCGATAAGTT